TAAGTTTTATAGTTTCAAGAATTTACCTATCGCCGTTGACGGAATATTAGGATTAGATTTTATGACTAGATATAAGGCTAAAATAGATTTAGAAAATAGTTTACTGACGCTGCAAATTGATGGTAAGCATTGTATTTTACCGATTTTCGATAAACCTGATTATAGCAACTCGTTAGTACTCGCACATCGAAGTGAGTCTATACATTATGTGTATTTGAATAAGGAAGTGGAAGAGGATTGTTTTGTGTGCGCGAGAGAGATAGAAAAGGATGTATTTTTGGCAGGAACTATTGTTCAACCGAAAAATAAACGCGTTCCAATTAATATTTTAAATACTAGAGATGAGGAAATAAGATTAAAAATTTTTACTTTAGATGTGGAACCTTTGAGAGAGTATAACATTTTTAAATTTGGTCAATGTAAAAGCTCCAATAGGGCTAAATCTTTGTTACCTTTATTAGAACTTAACCATTTAAACAATGAAGAGAAAGAATCTATTGAAAGCATTTGTTCTAAATATTCTGATATTTTCTTCTTACCAGGTGACAAATTAGAAACTACTAATATTTGCGAACATACCATTACATTAAAAAATAAAACTAATCCAATATATACAAAACAATATAGATTACCACATGCATTAAAAACTGAAGTAAATAAATAAATAACAAAGATGCTCGATGACGACATTATCGAGGAATCTTCTAGCGAATGGTCAAGTCCTATACTATTAGTACCTAAAAAGTCTGAAAGCTCACAGAAATGGCGTTTAGTAATCGATTTCCGTAAATTAAATGAAAACATTGTAGACGATAAATTTCCGTTACCCAACATAACAGACATTTTAGACTCACTATCTGGTTCAATTTACTTTACTCATCTAGATTTACAACAAGGATACTACCAAGTAAAATTAGCACCCAAGAAAGCAGAAAATACACAGCTTTTTCAACTAGTACAGGACATTACCAATTAAAACGTTTACCGATGGGTCCTTAAAACTTCCTGTAGTGCTTTCAGTAGGGTCATTTCAGTATAGCAATGTCAGGACTAGCGTTTGAGAAGTGTTTCATTTATTTAGATGACCTTATTACGTTTGGAAGGTCTTTAGCCACTCATAACCAAAATTTGATAGACTTTTTGAAAGATTGAGGAAGGTAAATTTAAAACTAAATCCCGCTAAGTGTCAATTTCTAAAAAAGAAAATTTTATATCTTGGTCATGTAGTAACCGCTGATGGTATAGCACCTGACCCTGAAAAAACTAAAGTTCTAGATAAGTTTCCAGTTCCTCAGAATGCCGATGAAGTAAGACGCTTTGTTGCTTTTTGCAATTACTATAGAAAATTTGTACCTTCATTTGCTTCCATAACAATGCCTTTAAATAATTTACTAAAGAGGGATGTACCTTTCATTTGGAATTCAGATTGCCCAAATGCATTTAATTTCTTAAAAAACGCTTTAATTTCTCCACCAATATTAGAATACCCAGACTTTGGTGAATCTAATGAATTTGTATTGCAAACAGACGCCTCAGACTTGGCTGTAGGAGCTGTGCTGTGTAATAAAAATAGAAAACCTATAGCTTATGCTAGTAGACCATTAAATAAAGCTGAAAAGAACTATCCCTTAATAGAAAAAGAATTAACAGATAGTGTGGGCAGTTAAATATTTTAGACCCTATCTATTTGGCAGAACTTTTACTATCATCACCGACCACTAACCTTTGATTTATTTATTTGGATTGAAGGATCCATCTAGTAGGTTAATTAAATATCGTTTAATTCTTGAAGAGTACGATTTTAAGATTGTGTATGTGAAGGGTAAGAATAATGTAATCGCAGATGCATTATCCAGAGTGTGTATAACATCAAGTGAACTAAAATGTATGAATGAGGAGGTTTTGGCAGTTGTAACGAGACAACAAAAGAAAAAGATGGAGCAGAATAGTACGGTAGAACAGACTGCTCTTAATGCCCTGAAAGTGCCCTGATAAGTGGCCTGATCAACCACGCGTCGTGGAACTATTAAGACAGCCATGTGATTCCGTAGAATTGAGATTGACTGACAGGGAAGTAATAGGAAAATTTAAGAAAGGAAATAATAAAGTGATAGAAGAAGAATGTTTTATGTATGTACCAAATAAAATGTTATTGTGTGTTAATTTAGGTTTAAGTTGCATTTCTCGCGAGCCGAATTTGCAATTAAACTTAAAGAGTTTTGCAAAAAAATAAAAGTAAAAGAATTATGCATAGTAAAAGATGGAAAGAATACTGAGTTTATAAAAGGAATATGTAGTGAAGTTAAATCGTTGAGTGAATGGTCCCGACCCCGAATATATGTACTGAAAGGAATAGAGAGAATTTATGATGAAAACGAGAAACAATTTATTTTAAATGACTATCATTTATTACCCACTTGTGGACATGCTGGAATAACTAGAATGACGAATAATATTAGGAGAAAATACTATTGGCCAGGACTAGATTCGGATATCCGTAAATATATAAGTAAATGCGCATTATGCCAGAAAATGAAACAAGGTAAATATACCAAACAACCTATGACTTTAACCTCCACTGCGTCGACTGCGTTCGAGAAAGTTTTCCTCGATTTAGTTGGACCATTGGATAAGGATGAGAATGGAAATTGCTATATTTTAACTCTCCAATGCGAGTTAACAAAATATATAGAGGCGTATCCATTGCCTAATAAAGAAGCTGTTACATTTGCAGAAGCTTTTGTAATGTTACGAGCTTGAGGTTCGTGACATTCCCTCCACCATCCCATGGTCCTACCCGCCTTGCGGCATACGGACCGAATCTAGGGAGACGCACACGGTACTTGCTCTCGGCTCTTTCCCGCGTGCGCTTGCTTGACTCCCTACAAATTTCTCTGATCCGTCCCTCTTCTCTACATTACACTTCTCCCCCTTCTGGGGCGTGACTCCACAGCGACGACACTTCGCGTTCAGCAGCTATCTGGTCGTGTTATTTAGTCCTCATATTGTTTCCTCTTGTGATGCCATGCATGCGCAAATCTCCTTAATTCCTTGAAGTTGGATTCGCAGCACACTAGGTCCCGGAAATAAACTGGTCCTATTGCTGTTCTTTGTATGCTGTCCAGTAATGTGTTCCTTTCTTCGACATACAGATCACAATCCCATAATGTATGGTCACGACTCTCCAGTGCAGATCCACAGGGGCATAAACCGGAGTTCCTAAGGTTGAATTTCAGGAGACGCTCATTGAAGCAGCCGTGGCCAACCAGAATCTGCGATACTGCGTAATCGGGCTCGACCCATCTGAAGATTAGGCGCTCTATGATATCTGGGAAAAACTTATAAAGGTCCCTGCCATCTTGGCTTGAATCCCATCGGTCCTGCCAAATGGCAACGACAGCCGCCATCATCTCCCACTTTTTCTTCCTGCACTCCTTGTCGACCAGACCCGTCCCCTCCTCGTCGACTCGTCCCGCGCGAAGAACTTCCAGGTCGGCAGGCAATACGCCCGCCAACACCGGTAACGCTGCGTTGCTCGCCGTCCTGTAAGCCTTCGTGAGAAGAATCAAAGCTGATCTTTGCGTCCTCATCAGTACGCTCTGATAACATGGAGGGACGAGCGTCGGTACCATACGGCAGCAGCATATGTCAACGTTGCCACATATGTCCCTGAATACAGGACTCTAAGGGCGTGAAATCTTATGCCCCAGGTCGATGAAGACAGTCGCGACATCTTCCCGAAACAAGCAGCGGCCTTCTCGCCGATATATAATGCATGCTGCACATAGGACCTCGCCTCGTCCAAAACTATTCCAAGGGCTTTTGCCTGTGAAACACTCGTGATCGTAGCACCGTCCATCTTGATAATTGGTCCACGTTTAAACTTGCCCTTGTAGGTCATCGTTTGTGACTTCCCAGCAGAAAACCCTAGTCTATTACGAACACCCCACTCGGACACGGCAGCGGTCATAGCTGCCGCTTTGCGCTCTATTGCGGAACGAGACGGCGCTTCGATCACGATCGTCACATCGTCGGCGTAAGCTACGAAGTGTACTCCTTCGGGTTTTGGCAGCTTCAGGAGGTCATCGAGTAGGAGGTTCCACAGGGTTGGTCCCAGCACCGATCCTTGAGGACAGCCCATCGTGGAGACCTTCCACACTACCCGATTTCCAGCAAACAGTCCCACTCGGCGATTTATGAAGTAACTCGTTAAAATACGGTAAATATTAGGTGGAACACCACATTGCTTTGCCTTGAGTAGGACCATTGGCCACCAGGCATTGTCGAAGGCTCCAGATATGTCCAGAAATATCAATTGCACGTAGTTCTCTGTTGAACCGCTGGCAGTGCGGTTGATAGTGTTAAGCGCGGTCACTGTTGATCGGCCACGTGTAAAGCCATGTTGAGCGTCGGAGATTCCGCGATAGAGACATGGAGCGCAGGAAATAATTACGCGCTCTAGAATTTTTCCTAATACGGGCAACAGGGTTATCGGGCGGTAGGCCTTCGGGTCAGTGAGCGGCCTGTCGCCACCCTTTGGCAGGACAACCAATTTGCCCATCTTCCACAGATTCGGAAAAACGCCCTCGACTATGCACGCCCTAAACATGTGCCAGATCTCGTCGCCAGTAACCCGCCATGCCTGTCTAACAATCTTGGCCGTGATTCCGTCAACGCCGGGAGCAGTGTTCGGCAGCTCTCGAATGATGAGTCCAACTTGTTCCTTGGTTGGTGGAGCAGCATCAGTTCCAGATGGAGCACATGCAGCAGCGATTCGCACTTGTCGATGGTATTCAGTGTCCCGGGCTAGATTATCGTCTGGGCATAAGGCGGTGACGAGACCAAGCATGGTGTCTCCGGTCGTCCTAGTATAGCCGTCGGCTAATTTCATTCCACTAAGCACGTTCAGAGGTGGACGAAATCGTCCACTAGCTGTTCGGTAAGCCAGGCCCCACGGGTCGGTGTTACCTGACTCCACAACGGAGCGGAAGAAGGCAAGTTCAGCATCCTTTCATGGCTAACTTGTAGCGTATTCTAACTGCACGCAGTTGATCATGTAGTGCCTTCTCCCTGTCGCCTCCTGCGCGACGTGAAGCCTGCCACTTGCGACGTGTACAGTAGACCTCATTTCGCATACGGTCAAGAGCCGGAGACCACCATTCGTACCCTTCTTTTTCCTTTTTAGCACGTGTGCCTAGTCGCTCCCTCGCAGTACGAAGGAGTATTGCGGAGTACTGCTCACAGATTTCATTAGCTGGGCGCGTTAGCCTCAGCTGGGACATGCGGGCGTGCAGAGTCGAACAGAAACCTCCCCAGTTCACACCACGTTCACGAAAGTAACAGCCGTTATCTGAAAACTCTGTGCCATCGTACATCCGTGAGTCGCCAAGGATAGCGCCAAACGTTATCAGCTGGTGGTCACTCACACTGACACCCTCATGCACCTTCCAGTCGGCAACCCTCACACTACGTGTGGAGATGGTAATATCCACGTTGGATGAGCCGTTTGGACTATGAAAGGTTGGCGGTTGGCCCTCCACATTATGCACCAGCAAGTTCCGTCCGAGGATGAATCCCTCCATCTGGGACTTGCGGTATTCCGTGTCAGGGCCCCGACCTGCCCATTGCCTGCGCTCGCAGTGCCACATTGGAGAATGAGCGTTACTGTCCACTCCAATAAGTATTGGGTGACCAGAAAGCTGATCCATCACGTGTGTGAGATGTTGCAGGTGAAGAGAGATGTCATGACTGTACTGGCAGTATAACGATACGACGTACATGCTAAGGCTCTGGCAGCTGACATGACCTATAACACAGTGTTCGTTACATAAGTCATATAGAAGTGTAACTATAAATCGTGAGCTTACTGGTAATAGGCCGGCCTTAGGGTTGGTGCCACACCCTAGCACTCGAGGATGCTGATGTTGCTCCTGGACTAGCACAAGATGAGGTTCGTGACAATAAAAATTGCCGATGAAATTACCTAAATTAACACTTTAATTTTCTTTACACCAATTAAAACTTAAAACACTAAAAATTTATCACGCTGATTCACTTTATTCCGCTCCGAAGCTTCGCCTGTCTCGCCAAATCCAATACTTCCTCGATCGCATCTTGCAGCGCTTTTATATAGGGCTCTTCCACGAAAACTTCCAGAATATTCCAGAATATTCGAGTAAATACGCGCGCCAACCGACCAAGCGCAGAAAGATCGAGTGTAGAGCTTCTAGAAAGTTTAATTCTTCTGTTTGATACTAGATGGCGCTGTTGGTTGAAAGACGAATCATGTATTTTCTGGAAAGCTCTTCTCGCTCTGTTACCCGACACCAGATGGCGCTAGTGCCTTGTACATGACGTCGACTTATGTACGTAACACTGCCCCCTCCTAAGACAATGCTCGTCCCGAGCATTATCGGACCCATAATAACGCGCCAAGCGATCCGCATGGACGATCTTAGGAGTCCCTCTGGCGCCTTCCTGTAACGGCTCCGCAATGTCAAGGGCTGTCCTATCCCATGGTGCACCAACATTGTACAATTTCGATGCTCCTCTACTACGTGTCTGAGGTCCCTTCGCAGCCGCACAACTTGTACATGTACGACACCAATCCTCGACATCGTCACGATAATGGACCCAGTAAAACCGTTCTCGGACCTTCAGTAGAGTTCGTTTAACTCCCAGATGGACTCTTGAACGACCATTATGGCACAGCTGTAGAACATTCGGCACTTTCGCTTTAGGGACAACCATTTGCAAACGACAGCTGTCTTCTCGACCATTGTCCCATTTACGGCACAGGACTCCATCCTGAATCAGCAAGCTGTTCCATTGGGCCCAATAGCTTTTCGTGGTTGAACTCATCGCTGAGACGTCCTTCCACTTAGGCTTGGTAGCACGGGCCTTCATCCATTCCAGAATCGGCTTGATGTCCGGATCTTCCTGCTGTGTACGTCGTAGGCTGTCCTTCCACTCGTTGCTGAGGTGGTCTGTCCTGAGCATCCTCACGGATACCACTTCCTTACTCTCTTGCCTAGTACAATGATGCCAATATTCAGAACAAGGTCTTCTTGACAATGCATCTGCGTTGCCATGAGATTTCCCGCTGCGATGTCTGATAGTAAAGTCGTATCCCGACTGCTGCTGGGCGGTGATATTAGCCGCATTTCCCTTCTGAGATCGTTCACCTTCCCTTTCTGGGGTTCGCTTAGGGCAGCTGGATCGAAGATGTCCCGTTTCCACACAGCCATAGCACCTAGGGCTGTATCCTTTATTGTGGTCGCGAACTGTAACTGTTGCAACCTCCCTAGCGCGAGGGGAACGACGATCCTGCCACCGCCAGGCAGTGCCGTTAGCTGCACTACCCTCTCGAGATCGATCAGCTCTCCTTTCTACAGTTCTCTTAGGGCAGCTGGAGCGAAGATGGCCCCTTTCCCCACAGCCATAGCACCTAGGGCTGTATCCTTTATTGCGGTCGCGAACCGTAGCTGCCGCAACCTCCCTGACGCGATGGGAGCGAAGATCCTGCCGCACGGCTTCCACCTCCAGTGCATGGGCCAAGGCGTCTTTAAGCGTCTCGTGGTGCCCGAGCCTCACAGCAGCTCTGACTTCAAGGTCGCGGATTACGTCGATGAATGTCTGAACCAGGTTCCCTTCAATGAGCGCAGGTACAGACTGGTATGCTTTTCGAACCATCTTCTCCACCTTAAGGGCCCACTGCTGCAGGTTTTCGTTGCTGCGTTGCACGCGATCTTTAAGCTGCGCGCGAAAGACGTGTTCCAGGTGAGCGTCACCATATCTCGCCTCCTATGCCTCAAGGAGCTGCTCGTAGGTCACTTTCTTACCGAGAGCTTCCAACACAGTTAAGGCTTGGTCGCGCAGGCCTAAGGTGAGTGCAGTCATGGCCTGGCTTTTATTCCAGCCGTTTGCCTCCATGACGGCCTCGAACTGGATTTTGTAGGCCGACCAGGAAGAAGTCCCGTCGAACGGTTGTACCTTGAACCCACGTAGCGAAGGTGTATTAGCTACTGCGGGGGCTGCAATTCCATCTCCAAGTTTGAGTTCATCCAGCGTTTTCTTAACTTGGTTGATTTGGGTCTCAGCTTCCGACAGGCGGTTATCATGTTGAGCAACCTTATCCTTCACCTCCCTTATCTCTTTCCCGAAGGTAGCGTGAAGGTCCTTAATGAGAAGCATCTCTTCCCTATCGCGTTTGAGCTGCTCTTCTAAGCGACGGGCCTGTTCCTCCTGTCGGCGGGCCTGTTCCTCCTGCTGCTCTTTCTTGAACTGACTGGCTTGTTCCTCCTGTCCGCGCTTCAGCTGCTCTTCGAACCAACGAGCCTGTTCCTCCTGTCGGCGGGCCTGCTCCTGCAGCATCACCATCAGGGCGCCTAAATCAGGTGCTGCAGATGCAGGAGCTACTGACGGACCGGCCTCCGTTGCCGGCGGCTGGCGCTCCGACGTCTGCGGCGTTGCACCACCAAATCTTCTCTGGTCCGTCTCATGCTGGCGTTGACTGCGGGTACGAACACCCTCCGTTTCCTCCTTAGGTAAAATCGGCATGATTTTATCCCACTTCTGACTCCAATTGTTACGAGCTTGAGGTTCGTGACAATAAAAATTGCCGATAAAATTACCTAAATTAACACTTTAATTTTCTTTACACCAATTAAAACTTAAAACACTAAAAATTTATCACGCTGATTCACTTTATTCCGCTCCGAAGCTTCGCTTGTCTCGCCAAATCCAATACTTCCTCGATCGCATCTTGCAGCGCCTTTATATAGGGCTCTTCCACGAAAACTTCCAGAATATTCCAAAATATTCGAGTAAATACGCGCGCCAACCGACCAAGCGCAGAAAGATCGAGTGTAGAGCTTCTAGAAAGTTTAATTCTTCTGTTTGATACTAGATGGCGCTGTTGGTTGAAAGACGAATCATGTATTTTACTGGAAAGCTCTTTTCGCTCTAGCTAAAGTAACAGTAAGTAACTTTATTTTAAGATTCGGTATTCCGAAATGTATAGCTACAGATAGGGGGCCAGAATTCATGTCTCGGGTTATGGAACAGGTATATAAGTTATTAGAAATCAATAAGTTATCGTCAACTGCATACCACCACCACCAATCAATCGGTTCTCTTGAGATAGCTCATAAACATTTAGGTGCGTTTCTAAGAAGTTATTGTACTAATTCGAATTTTTCATGGTCCCATTGGGTTCCATTTTGGTGTTTTAGTTATAATAATTATGTGAACACTCAAACTAAGTACACTCCTTTTGAACTTGTTTTTGGTAGACAATGTCGTTTGCCAAATAATTTGAATTATGATGTTGAACCACTTTATAATCCTGATAATTATTGTTTAGATTTAAAATATAAATTGCAAGTAGCCTTAATAGATGCTAGAATTAATTTGATAGCTTGTAAGGAAAAAAGGAAAGATAAATATGATGAATCATGTAATCCTGTATTTTATAATAAGAATGATCTTGTTTTACTTAAAAATGAATGTGCTCGTAAATTAGATTGTGTTTTTGATGGACCTTATAAAATTGTAGAAGATTTAGGAGTAAATGTGAAAATTGATATAAATGGTAAAATTGACATTGTTCATAAGAATAGGACTAAGCCATTTTCACATTTATTCTTTTTTTCTTTCTCTTTTTTTCTTTGCCCCCAAAGGTGAAGTAACCTATGTACTTGTAGGTGATATTCGATGTATTAGAAAGTAAGCCAGTATTAAATAAACACTCGAGTTGAACAAACGTGTTGATCTTTCATTCCATTATAAATAACATAATTCTGTTGCTGCATAATGCTGCAAGAGCTTTGCCGTTCTTTTCACGCGACACAACATATCTTCAAATGATAGAAGCGGCTGATAGTTTACTGTATACTTAGGGTCGATTTGTAATTCCAAATTATTAATTTGGTCTAATATCTTTTCGTAATCCGTCCGCAAAGAGTCCACCGTTTCGATTTCACATAAAAACGTCTCCCGCACTGCTTCTACGTTAATATTCCTTATGTGATCACTTTGTATACGTGAAAAAAGTACGTCCCTCTTGGCGTAAAGAGTTTTAAGTTTAATTTCATTTCCACTAACCATTTTAAATCACTATAATTAATATTCGATTAATCACAATTAATCGCACAACGCTGGGGGATGGACACAGTGTAATACAACTATATCTCACAACACTATTGTCTTATCGTGCCGTATTACGTCGTTAAATTGAACACCATTGCAACGAAACGAGGCGACGCGCGTCGATAGATAAGAAGCTAAACTCACACTATTTTTTTTTATTTTTTTAAAATGTTGGATAGGCCGAATAAAGCCGTGCGGAACTAAACTATTTTAAATAAATGAATCG